GACTTGAGAAATTTCATGTAATAATGACTTAGTTTTCCCTAAAAATTCAAAACTTTCTCATAATAACTACTTGAGAAATTTCATATAATGACTTGGTTTTCCCTAAAAATTAAAACCTTTCTCATAATAACGACTTGAGAAAAATGTATGTAATAATGATTTAGTTTCTCATAAAAATTCTAAACTTTCTCTTATAATAATGACTTGAGAAATTTCATGTTTACAACAGTAACTAAATCATGAGAAAATTTCACATTAATATGACATGCTAATCCATTGAGAAATTTTCGTCAAAACGAACAGAATCATATCTTTAAGGTGGAAACAGGCTTCCATAGTGGTTAAATGAGTTTATTTGTCATAAATTAATGCAAACAAAAAATATCAGACCTAAAAGTAGGCTTTTTTAAATCTTATTTAAACAATGTTTCTTTCTTTTAATTTTGGGGTGAAATTAATTTTTAAATGAGTTTTTATGAGATTCATTCCAATATGCTCAGACAAGAAAGAGAATATGAAAACAAAAGCCACATACAACAGCATGATCACAGATATAAAAAGACAAAGACAGTTCTTTTAATAAATAACACTGGATTGGATCAGATTGGTGGAGGATCCGCCCCCTCAGGGAGCTCTGACTTCTAATTGGTCTCAGAGAGCAAAAGCCTCATTAATATTAATTTACATTCCATTGGTGAGTTCCATGTGACTTTACTGGACACAATAACATCTAAACCATAAAAATAAAACAGAAACAGAGAAGCTACATGTCAGAGAGTCTCCCAACGCTGGACAGAAAACTGAAGACGAGTGTGTGTGTCTTGTGTTGTTAATATGGTTTTTGTTTATGTGGAAGTATGACCTGAAGATGTATGTCTGAATGGAGTACAGTGCGAGTGCGAGTGTGTGTGTTCATCGCGGTGGTCTGGACTGACACACACAGTCACATCTCTCATGATGCTGCAGGTAAATCTCCTCCAGAGCCCAGTGAGCACGTGTTTTCTTCTTGTAGAAATTCGGACCTGGAGAAAACTTCAGCACCTGACAACACATATATATATGGAATATTAAGAGAGAAATTCAATAAATTTTGCTCTTAACTATAACTAAACGTAAGAGTCAAATAAATTTCACCTGATTTTTTGTTTGTTTGTTTTTTACATAAACTTAAACTTATGTTCTTTAAATGTAAAAAAAAAAATTTGTTCTTTAACAGCTAAATGTAAAAATCAAATTCAGCTAATTTTATCTAAACTTAAAACTAAATTGAAGTTCAGCTAATTTTGCTCTTTAATAACAATTTAAAAAATCTAATAAATTCAGCTAATTTTGTTCTTTAACTATAACAACTAAATGTAAAAAAATTCAGTAAATGTTAAAAACTCAACTTAGAAATTAAAATAAATTTTGTTAACTATAAACTTAATCTAATTCAGCAAATTTTGTTTTAACAATTAAACTTAATCAAATAAATTCAGCACAAAGTTGGTTCTTTAACAACTAAATGTAAAAATCAAACTCAATTTTGTTCTTTATAACAACTAAATGTAAAAAAATTAATTCAGCAAATTTTGTTCTTTATAACTAAATGTAAAAAAATAAATATAAAAAAGCAAATTAATTTCTTTAACAACTAAACTTTACTAAACGCAAAATTTGTTCTTGATAACTAAAATAAATTCAGTTAATTTTTCTCTAACTATAACAACTAAACATGTTCATTAAGAAAAATAGAACTAAATAAAATTAATAAATAAAATATAGAGAAAAATTACAGAAATAAAATAAGTGATCATGAAATAAAAAATAACCTTGCTAAACACAATGAAACTTAAAAGTAAGGCTCTGGGTTCAATGCAAGTTTTATCAGCAGCAATAAAAAAAATAATGTTATATAGTAAACATAAAAGTAGCAGCAAACATTAAAATACACAATGTTTTCAAAGTATCTGAACTGCACTGTCGTTCTAAAAAACTGAAGAGCAAGTCGAAATGATATTCTGTGTTAATGGATATTAGGCAGCATATGCTGTTTATAGAATTAAACCCGGAACATTCCATAAGAATGACTGTAAGAGTTTGTTACAATATTTATTCCTTATCAAAATAACCAATAAAGTCAGTGTTTCTGGATTTGCTGCAGTGCTGTTTGTTTGTTTGTTTGACCAGGGCAGAAAATAAAACAGATTTATCATCGATTTGTCTTCATTGATTTGCTTACCAATCGATATCCGTCCTTGACCTCTGAATGTGTCGTATGTTTTGTACTGAAGCTCGTATATCAGTGTGCGTGTGTGTGTGTGTCTGTCTCACATTAGTCAGCACTGACAGCACAACCAATCACATTTAGCAGATGTTGCCGTAGGTAACAGTCTGTTATTCTACAGGACAGCAGCACAATGACAGCTCTGTGACAGCTGTCAATCACTCATGCTGATGTCAGGTCTGTATAAGCAACTACAACTCCCAGAATGCCTCAGACATCCCATGAGGCTTCACTCCGATTATTAACACTAGATTGGTTCAGGTTGAAATTTGATTAAGTTTGTGAGTCTTCGGTTAATGGTGTTAATATGTTATGAAGTTAAGCAGATATTATTCAACAAATTCAACATTTTCTTTTTGACATCCAACGTTCCTGCACCGCTACTGAATCTACAGCACATGAAATTATGCTTTACATGAGTTATGAGTCATGTGACCAGCACAAAATAATAAAAACACAATCAACTGAGCTCAGACTCTTTATATTGCATTGTTCTCGCTGGAGTCACATGACAACAAACAACTCTTATGAGGCGCTGCTCTGAGATCAGAACTCACTAATCTACGTTTTAAATCTTTTAAAGACATTTCAGAGACTTGCATCATATCTTATATCATTTCATCTTATATATGTAAATTAAGGACTAATCTGAGTGTGCATCTTTGTTTTCATATGATCAGAATTTTGTTGGTAATTAAATATAAAATTGATATAAACATTATATTAAAAATTATATTTTATACATTTAATTTTTATAGAATTAATTTATATTATACAAAATATGCATTTAAACTCAATTTATTAAATATTATAAAATTAAAAGTCAATAAACAAAAAATCTATAAAATAACTATAAATAAATTAAAATATAATACTTTTCAAACATATGTACATCAGCCACTGTAAGAAAAAAAAGATTAACATGGGAAATTTAATTCAACATTATTTTGTGGAATAAATGATTGCTACCACAAATAAATAAAATATAATATGAATAAAAAAATATAAATCAAAATAATTATTAAAATGAGTAATAATACTTATTAAAAATAATAATGTCTAGTTTTAAAAATTCATATTTCAGTAACATTTAACAAGAATTAGTTAGCATGAAGTAATAATTAAAAATATTGTAATAAAAAATTATTTAAATGTTTAAAATGTAATCATGTTAAACATTTAAATTATATCAGTTATATATACTTATTATATCATCAACCTTGGCAGTCTGAACCCTTTAATTAATAAAAACATTATTAACAAAAACCTACACTGAACATAGTAAACACTGGAGGGGAAAAAAAATCTAAATTCACACAATAAAAACTAAAGAAAATGCAACTAAATTGAAAGCACAAGTTTAAAACAAAATAGATATAAAACCTATATTCCTATATTGTCCTACATAAAGAAATGCAATTCCTTATGATTCAGATACCATTTCTAATTAAATCTGAGGGTGTGCTTGTGTTTTATCATTTCAGAACATAAAAAAAAAACAGGAAAGGAGAAGAGACAGACAGACAGTTACAGACAGCACACTTTACTGCTGCCATCAGTTCAGATGAACACTACTGTCTGTCTCTGTGTGTGTGTGTGTCTGTGTGCGTGTGTCTGCGTGTGTGTGTGTCTGCGTGTGTGTGTGTCTGCGTGTGTGTGTGTCTGCGTGTGTGTGTGTCTGCGTGTGTGTGTGTCTGCGTGTGTGTGTGTCTGCGTGTGTGTGTGTCTGCGTGTGTGTGTGTGTGTGTGTGTGTGTGTGCGTGTGTGTGTGTCTGCGTGTGTGTGTGTGTCTGCGTGTGTGTGTGTCTGCGCGTGTGTGTGTCTGCGCGTGTGTGTGTGTGCGTGTGTGTGTGTCTGCACGTGTGTGTGTGTGCGTGTGTGTGTGTCTCTCTCGATGGATTTCATGTGTCATTTGCTGATAATCTCACACACAGAACAACATATGTCACATTGGTCACAACTGATCAGAGGAAAACAGCAGCAGACGGAGACAAGGAAAAATAAAGTGTGTGTGTGAGCTATAGGATAATGGAAAGCGAATGGATGGAGAGATACGCTGCAGTTTCAGCACAAAATATACAGTGTGTGTGTGTGTGTGTTTGGAGCTGATAAGCAGAGACTCCACAGGAACTCCACAGGAAACACAAACGCCACTTCTGACACACACACACAGAATTCAACAATTCGTGTCTACATAAGATGCTGTGTTATGTCTATATCACACCAGTACACACACACACACACACACACACACACACACACACATAAATGCTCAAAACTTAAACATTTCATGCTGAAACACTCACTCTTGTTTCGATAAAAAATTGTTTTAAAACACCACCCGCTTTGAGACACAAGAGCAACATCCAATTCATGAATGAGCTGATTCTTTTCAGTGAATCGGTTCACAACTCGCACTAAATGATTCATTCGGGCTTCAGACTGATGCGATTGCGGTGATTCTCTGTTATATCTATATCTCACCAGTACACACACACACACACACACACACACACACACACACATAAATGCTCAAAACTTAAACATTTCATGCTGAAACACTCACTCTTGTTTCGATAAAAAATTGTTTTAAAACACCACCCGCTTTGAGACACAAGAGCAACATCCAATTCATGAATGAGCTGATTCTTTTCAGTGAATCGGTTCACAACTCGCACTAAATGATTCATTCGGGCTTCAGACTGATGCGATTGCGGTGATTCTCAAGTCAACAGCTCATCGATTCAAGGATCTGTTTAGAGGGACTCAAAACAAGCCAAGAAGTGATTTATCGCCACTTATCACCTGAAAAAGTAAGTTATTAATTCTGAATTTAGTATTGATTACCATCAATGAAAACCATATTTTATACATTTTGTCCATATATCCACATATGTGTCACTGTTTGTATGGGGTAGGCGATTTAATGTAAAATAACAAAAATGTATAAAAACAAATCTGTTACTGGAAATAAATGTTAACTGAAATAAAATTAAAAATGATTTATTAAACTAAATATTAAAATTATTTCAGCAATTATTTCATTTCTCATTTTCATTTGGTTTAAATAAACTAAAACTAATGAATAAAAACTGCAGATATATTTTTAAAAAGGCAAAACCAAAATTACAACATAACTAAACTCTAACTAAAAATATTTACAAAAACTAAAATAGTATATATACATATATTTAGTGCTGTCAAATGATTAATCGCATCCAAAATAAAAGTTTTTGTTTACATAATATATGAGTGTGTACTGTGTATATTTATGATGTATATATAAATACAAACACATGCATGCATATTAGAGATGCACCGATTGCAGGTTTCTTGGCCGATTCCGATTTCTGATTGTTTGTTAGTGTGATCTGCCGATACCGATTTTTGCCGATTCCGATTTTCTTTCTAAGAACTATAATTGACAGCATATACAAACAAAAATCTACTTTTCTTCAATGCGAAGTTTTATTTTCATTAAAAAAAACAAGTAAAAAGTCAGTAATAAAATAAGAACAAATAAAAAAATTGCAAACAACAGCACAAATAAATGCAATAGAATAAAGAGAGCTATGAAACTAAGTTTTTCAGGTTAAGTTTTTATTCAGGTAAGAAATACTACAGAAATTAAAGTAATCAAATGTAAAATAACAC